GGGCGCTGGCCCTGGGAGATCAATCTCCCAAGGGGGGGGGGGCGGCGGCCAAGGGGGTGGAGTGCCCCCCAAGGCAAGTGGTGTGCCCCCCCCCCACCTAGGGTTTCCAACCCTAGGCGCAGGGGGGGCAAGGGGGGGCGCACCAGCCCACTAGGGCTGGTTCCCCTCCCACTTCAGCCCACTGGGCCCTCCGGGATAGGTGGCCCCACCCGGTGGACCCCCGGGACCCTTCCGGTGGTCCCGGTACAATACAGGGTGACCCCGAAACTTTCCCGATGGCCGAAACAGCACTTCCTATATAGTTTTCTTTACCTCCGGACCATTCCGGAACTCCTCGTGACGTCCGGGATCTCATCCGGGACTCCGAACAACATTCGGTTTGCTGCATACTCATATTCATACAACCCTAGCGTCACCGAACCTTAAGTGTGTAGACCCTACGGGTTCGGGAGACATGCAGACATGACCGAGACAGCTCTCCGGTCAATAACCAACAGCGGGATCTGGATACCCATGTTGGCTCCCACATACTCCTCGATGATCTCATTGGATGAACCACGATGTCGAGGGTTCAAGCAACCCCGTATACTATTCCCTTTGTCAGACGGTATGTTACTTGCCCGAGACTCGATTGTCGGTATCCCAATACCTTGTTTAGTCTCGTTACTGGCAAGTCACTTTACTCGTACCATAATGCATGATCCCGTGACCAGACACTTGGTCACTTTGAGCTCATTATGATGATGCACTACCGAGTGGGCCCAGTGATACCTCTCCGTAACACGGAGTGACAAATCCCAGTCTCGATCCGTGTCAACCCAACAGACACTTTCGGAGATACCTGTAGTGCACCTTTATAGTCACCCAGTTACGTTGTGACGTTTGGTACACCCAAAGCACTCCTACGGTATCCGAGAGTTACACGATCTCATGGTCTAAGGAAGAGATACTTTACATTGGAAAAGCTCTAGCAAAACGAACTACACGATCTTTTTCTATGCTTAGGAATGGGTCTTGTCCATCACATCATTCTCCTAATGATGTGATCCCGTTGTCAACGACATCTAATGTCCATAGTCAGGAAACCATGACTATCTGTTGACCAACGAGCTAGTCAACTAGAGGCTTACTAGGGACGTATTGTGGTCTATGTATTCACATGTGTATTACGATTTCCGGATAATTCAATTATAGCATGAATAAAAGACAATTATCATGAACTAGGAAATATAATAATAATCCTTTTATTATTGCCTCTAGGGCATATTTCCAACAATAACATCACTCTCGACGGCTGGTTGAGCTCATTATGCATTACAGAACTCAAGTGATTAGCCCCCGCCAGCACTCACAAACTTATTTTGAGCTAGCACACCAAAATGGGTTGTTATTCTTCATAAGAAAGACTACATGGTCATGACAGATTAGGGTTCTAACATTTGGGACCCATGAGGAAAAAGCCTCAAGGTGGTGTCGATTTAGTCAACAAACGATTCTGCCTACCAGCCATTGGATTGACATCCAACATATGTCGAGTTTTTTCTATCTCTTGTCTTCTTCCTCCAGCCACCCAAATCAAACCACGCCAACGGTCTCGCCTTCTCCCACCTCCCATGGCTGGCTGCGCCTACGCCGCCCTACCGTACCGTCAAACATTGGCCAGTTCATTCCTCTATTCCCCCAAATGTCCTACAATTTAGCTATGTATCAGTCGACTGGTTTTCGAATTCGGGGTCAGTCGATTAGAAGGATACGGAAGGGCATTGCCGGAGATAAGGAATGGCCTCGCCGGAGATAAGTAAGGAGCTCGCCGTCATCACCCCGTTATCTATCTTAGGGTTCAGGGTAGGGGCGATGATGGATGGCGGTGGTGGGGCGGTGGCGCACTTCATCGGAGAAAAAACCAATCGCAGGCGGGGCTAGAGGGATGGTCGTGGCCGGCGGCTAGACCAACGGTGGGGGGCGGTTCCAGGGAGGGCGGGGCGGAGAGACGGTCGCGGGAGCATCACCGACGGCAAGGTGAGGCTCGCCCCCGCAGCCGCGTGAACATGACATGAACCACGTCCACCAGCTTGATGCTTTGGTCGACCACCTGCTTGGCATTCTTCCGCCGCAGCCGCTGCACATCCGTCTCCGCCGTTGTCAGGGAGCGCCAGAGGACGGACGCAATGAGCGCGCCCTCAAGATCGACCGGTGCGTGCGCGCGAGTGCCTGCTGCCATGGCCTCCCTCGCGAGTTGCCGCTCACGCTGTGCGGCCCGCGCCTCCGACTCGTGCGTCCTCGACCGGCCCGACGCCGGCGAGGGTACAAGTACCCAACTGTGCCCGTGGACCACCTCCGAAGGTACAATGGACGTGGTGGCAGAGGGACGACGTACCTAGAGTGGGACGGAGCGAGTGGTGCTCCCACCGGTGTTGTGCGTCAGACGGGAGGGCCCGACAATGTCGCCCGCACTACGATGATGGGCGAAGGGGGACGACGCGTCGCTCCGTGAGTTGCCTCCGCTGCTGCCGCCCTGACCTAGACGTGAGCGGTGCAAAGCAATGCAGAGAGCGACCACATCGTCGTCACTCTCGTCGCCATTGGAGCTGGAGCCGCTGTGGTCATCCGCCATGGATCAGATTGGGAAGAGGAGATGACAGATTGGGAAGAGGAGAGGACGAAGAGAGCAGTGGACTGAGATCTAGGGTTCATGGAGGAGATATATGTGGGGTCGGATGGCCAGCCTGACGTAGCGGACGCGTCCAGGCCGTCCTATATTTGAACTGGATATAAGGGACGTGAGACAACCCTGGTGTTTGAGGACGTTTTTTTAACATCAGTACAGACACAAGCGCTCATATACACGCGCATGCACTCACCCCTATGAACGCACAAACGCACACCCTATCCCTATGAGCACCTCCGAAAGACTGAGCCAACATATCATCTTAAAATTTATGAAGTCACCATAGGCACCTTCGTCGTCGACGGGAACGTCTCTTCCCACTGAATGTGCATCGCCGAAAATCCTGAAATAAATTCAGAAAATAAATGCGAGCATCAGGGTTTAAACCCTGGCAGGCTGGGGATAACACAGTCCCTCTAACCATCCAACCATAGGTTGGTTCGCTGTTTGAGGATGGTTTGAAACGCTCGGATGAGTTGGTTTGTTTTTTCACCGTTTAGAGCACGGTTAATAGTATAGCCAGCTGCTGGCTATAAGCAGTGCCATGTCATCTACAGCCTACCTTATAGTTAACATGCACAATAGTAGATCAAAAGAGTGTACTAGTTTTTTATTATGTGGCTCACCTTTCATTTTCACAAAGTGCCTAGGAGCATGTGCTAGAGCTGGCTCTTCACGAAGAGCCCGCTTACCTTCTCTCTCCTCTTCTCTTTCCTCCAACTAAGCAAAAATATACTAGTTTATTCCTTATAATCTGCTGACTCAACTCTATTATACTTGCTCTTAGCCCATCCGGGTGTTTGAGAGGAGTTCGAGCCCCCGGCTATAGATGCTCTCACGGCATATTTGTCGTTCCCGAGACATGGAGGTCAATTGGCTTGACGGGGGACGCCGCGACGGACACGGTCCATCAGCTACCTGGTACGCCACGTGGAGATAGACCGCCGAGCCGTCCCTCCGTTCCGAATGGCGATGGTTGAGTGGCCACCCGAAACAGCTGAGCAATTTGATAAAATAGCACACCTTTCCTCGTACATTGATAAAATAGCACACCTTTCTTTTTGTTAGATTAAATGACACACTTTTCCTTCAGGGTTAGATAAAATGGCACAAACTGACTTTTTTTCACAATTTCCACGTCAGGACCTACCCGTTATATTATTTTGGACGATTTTACACTTTGGACTGGTTCGATCGAGAGAGGAGACGAGACGATCCAGAGGATGAGAGAACACCGGAACAGAGGAACGACGGAACCATCCACGATCTCGCCGTGATTCGTCCCCGAGCCGCCCTGTCCGCCACCTTACCGCGCGCCGCGGCCGCCGTACGCGCTGCGGGCTGCGGCTGCTTCATCGCAATGCGGGAGAAGAAGGGCGCCGCCACTTGAAGTCCCCCTGCAGCACGTGGCAGTGCAGGCCGGTCGCTCGCCGTAGCGTACGTTCGTTTGCTGGCTGTAGGTGCTTGCTCCTGTAGAAGCCTGTAGGTGGCTGCTGACTGGTATAGTTGTTTGCTTTAGCAGGGAAGTAGAGCTGAACAAGTGAAAGGCATCAGTAAATGAATAAACAATCGTACAAACATACATGTACGCAGAGAAAATATGATACAGTACAAGAGAAAAGCATCAGTAAAAAAACCGTAGCTAGCATAAGTCAGTGTCTTCTTTTTTTTTTGAGCATAAGTCAGTGTCTTCATCCATCAAATATTACTCGAAGATTACAAGAATCACGTATAGAGAGAACACGGATCAAGAGAGAAGATGGGATGAAACCTGTACGGCCAGATGCGGCGGCGGCGGCGGAACGGGTGGAGCGACAGGAGACGGGAAGAAACGGGACGAAGCGCCGGGAGATAAGGGGAGCACGTAATTGGCAGGGCCGGCGAGGCGGCGATCCATCTTCCTCGCTGCGTTTCTTTTCGCTCTGTTTCGAAACAGAGGTTCGACTGAACCAGTTTACTGCGTAGAACAGATCAAAGGGCAAAATCGTCCAAAATAATATGACGTGTAGGTCCTGACCTGAAAATTGAGAAAAATGTCTGTTTGTGCCATTTTGTCTAGCCCCGAAGGAAAAGTGTGTCATTTAATCTAACAAAAAGAAAGATGTGCTATTTTATCAACGTACGAGGAAAGGTGTGCTATTTTATCAAATTGCTCGAAACAGCTAGACCTGGTCCATCGCTCCCCACTTCCGGAGAAGACTTCTAAAAAAGAAGAAAACCTGAAAGCGTCACCGTCCGTTTGCAATTCCATTCATTGCTCTCGTATCAACCATATCGAATCCAATCCAATCGAATCGCCGGAGGCGGAAGCGCGCATCGAACTCGGTCGGCAATGGCGAGCCTCACCTTGCCGCCGGCGCCCCCGAACCCCCGCCAGGACGCCATCGACCTCCACAAGGCCTTCAAAGGTCCGCGCCTTGCCTTTCCCCTCCGATTACCCCCCTCCCCGTTTCAATCCCGCCTTTTCTGGTCGGCGATTAGGGTCAGCCGACCGCGAGATTAGCCGGTCTCATGTGAGTTTACGAGCTGGAGGAACGCTCTAGGTAGAAATTGCTGTTCCCATCTAGCGGCTGCTCGGATTGAACTCAGTGGTCAAAAGGGATGCCGGCCCCCTAGATTTGTTTTGCATGTGAAATTGAAGAATTCTGGTTGATGTGGATTTGTTATTAAGAGACTTTAGAGCGTCAGACGTTCAGATACGTGGAGGTTAGAATGGACCATGGTCGGGTCTCGGGTGAGTGATGGCAACTGCAGTACTGCACCGACTGAGGACCTGTTTCTTGACCTGCTCTGAATTTAATCTGGAGCCAAGTGGACTGATATGAGGTCAAGGAGGACGAGTTCTGTCTCAGAGAGACCGACTGTTCTTCTGGCCAAAGTGCAAAACCGTGTAATTGCCGGTTACCCGATAATCATTAAATTATCCCAAGACCGATAGACTTCTTTTTACAATTTAATGGTTCAAAAAAAAATAAGAATCTGATCTTAGGCAATATTTATGGGCTTATAACCTGTACAATAATTGTGATTACTTATATTCTTTTTGACGAGAAACCTGTAGCTTAAACCAGGCAAAACAACGGTTGCCAAACAAATTACAAGACTTGGAAAATTCTCTATCTGGAAGACCGACAGAGTAATTTCGACACAAAGATTCACAAAAAACACAGCAAATATAAAACTAAAACCAAACAGACCAATGAAAGTCTTCCTCTTCAGAAAACCAAAACTCTTGAATTACTTCTCTAGCCTGAATATGACACAAAGTCCGTTAAAATCAACCACAAAAGTAATCCGCCGTGTGGGGCAGAACCAGGAAAACAGTCTTTGCACATGGGCAGGGGTATCACCCCGAGCTTGGCAAGGAGAGGATCCGTTGTCTTGTCGCTGCTCCCGAAAGCCGGGATCCACATGAAAGATCCGTCAAGTCCAAAGGAGCTGAAGTGAAGTCCTGTCATAGTGCCATGGTTGACCAAACCACGTTTCTGGAACCCCAGATCGACGTGACAGAAACCCCACATCTCGATCGATGCTGGAGGCAAGGCCGCCATATCAAAGGCAAAGGAGGACAATTATTATGCTGGCTGATTTTGTCTCCGCTATGACCAAGACAACAAACAACGGCACCCATATATATATATTTTTGTAAAATCAGCCTCCCCCAACCTTAGAGCTGGGTGAGCGATGATTCACCGGTGAAAACTGCTAGGATGTTAAGGGGTGGCGGCTAGGGTTGTGATTACTGGTATTCTGGTTCACAAATTGATATATCGTCTCCTGATTTCCTTTTCTTTATTATTATCTATTTCCTTCTTTTCCCTTCCATTCATGATTTCCCCCCCTCAACCACCCCAACGGTTTCCAACATCGAGAAAACGCAAAAAGTATTGTGTCTTCATGCATTGATAGGAAAGGAAAGTTGTGTACAAGGCCAAAAAAGGGCCAGACCTGAGAGTATACAGTGCCGCACCCCTAAGAGCCAGGCGCTGCCGGAAGAAGCGCCGCATGGCCAACCGCCCCTGCTCTCGCCCAGAGTTGTGGTTCGGCCCTCCTATGTGTTCAGTACAGCTTAGAATTGAAAATTGTCAACTGCTAAGTGCTCCAATAAAAGGCTCAGGATCTCATAGTAAAGAAGAAGGGCTCAGCATCTGACCAATGTCTTTTAAGAATTTATTGTTATGGACGACCTGTGACATAATGGTGCCATAGTAGTTTCTGTAGCAGTGGAGTTGTAACTATTTGGGTTTTGGCCCCAAGTACCATGACTAGTCGAGTTGTACTCCTTATTACCATGATATTTGAGTTGCGCTCCCTAGTACCATATATGTACAAATAACAATTGTATGTACTTTACCAGCAATTGTGTAGTAATATGCACTTTAGTGGCAAACATGTGCATGTTAAGGTGCCTGTTTTGACGGTATGAAGTACATCCATTTGAGAAGACAAATGCATCATTTTCCATTTAGTGACCATTACGGTTTATCGAACTTAAGTTTGTTTTCTGCGGTACCACCAATTTTATTGTTTCAGTAAACTAAGTTATTCTTTAGATAGGATAGGAGTAATACATATGCTCTAGTAATTCCTGATGGCTGTGATCAAGTAAGAATTACTAAAAAAGATGCTTAAGCAAATTACTTCTTTGCAAATTTTATGTTTCTACTTGAAATTATAAGATTCATTATTTAGTCAATCAACCTTCATTATATGTCTTCTTTAAAAGTAATTAATCCTTTGCATCCTGATTATGATTTTTTTTTCACTTGGTCGTTGGTCTTACAGGGTTTGGCTGTGATAGTACAACAGTTTCAAATATACTTGCTCACCGTGACTCAATGCAACGTGGATACATTCAACAGGAATACAAAACTATGTATTCTGAGGAACTTTCACGTCGTATATCGTCTGAACTCAGTGGAAACCACAAGGTATGGAAAATTGTAGAAAAATCTTTGTTGCATGATAAATCAAACTATTGCACAGCTATACTAGCTGAAGCAGTATGCTTAATTAATCGTACCAGTATTCACTGAGTAAAAGTATGGATTTGCATAGGTTAGTTCTATATTTGTTAACCGACTCTATGTTATGCCAGTCCTCAGTATAGTTGAATTACTCAAAATATTGTTGTGGTAGATATGGGTATACGGCTAACCATGTGGTATATGATTCCAGAAAGCAATGTCGCTCTGGATTCTTGATCCTGCTGGACGTGATGCGACTGTTCTGAAAGAAGCTCTAAGTGCTGAAAGTCTTGATCTGAAAGCAGCTACTGATATAATATGTTCCAGGACACCATCACAGCTGCAAATAATGAAACAGACATATTATGCAAAGTTTGGTACTTATCTTGAGCATGACATTAGTCAGCAAGCATCCGGCGATCATCAGAAGGTTTCATTTCTTAATTTGTAACTTCTTCATCTGATGCATGGCAGTTGATAGCTATTTGCATTGCTTCTCTATTCAGGACTTGTGCTCGTACATATCATTTCTTGAAACACAGAATTTTGCTGTGTTCTTCTCGGGCATATTGCAGTTACTAGTGAAATGCTGTTGATACCGTTTTGTACTTTTGCTTTATTATATGTTGATGTCAAGGTGATCTGCTGCATGGTCTTCATTACAGTTTAGACACGTTGTACTTTTTTGTGCTAATGAATGATATGATGTGTATTTCAGATCTTACTAGCCTATGTTGGCATTCCACGCTACGAAGGCCCGGAGGTTGATCCCACTATAGTGGCACATGATGCGAAGGACCTCTACAAAGCTGGTGAGAAAAAGCTGGGCACAGATGAGAAAACCTTCATCCGCATCTTCACTGAACGCAGCTGGGCACACATGTCAGCTGTTGCTTCTGCTTACCATCACATGTATGATCGGTCGTTACAGAAGGTAACACTTCTGTTCAGTTTTCCCTTCCCATACATTTTGGTGCTCTCCTGGAGTGTACTAATGAGTTTCCTTCACTGATGGTAGGTTGTGAAGAATGAAACATCTGGAAACTTTGAAGTTGCTCTGTTAACTATCCTCAGATGTGCTGAGAATCCAGCGAAGTATTTTGCTAAGGTATCTCACCCGTGCTGTCCGCCAAAAAGAACATGTAAACTTCTTTATTTGATTGCAAGAGGCAAGCAGCCAAGCTTTTGTGTTTTTGATAAAGTGGTGTTTTTGTACAGAGCATGAATTACAATAGTTGCCACACTATTGTTTCTTAATTTCTGATTGGCGCATCGACCATCGTATGCTGTGCATAAAGTCTGCAGGATTTGACTCTTGAATTTCCTTGTTTACTTTGTTTTCACGTTTCCTATTTTCAGTGAATATCTAGTTACAATCCTGATGTGATATATTCTAATATTCTATAAATACTTTCGAATAGACAATGACTTGATTGCTTTGGTACCTGTACCTAACTCCCACTATAATCCGTAACTGTGCTAGCTGTATTTAGTGTCCAGTCTGAACACTAGTATCATTATGGGAATATGCTACCAGACCATGCATTCATGAATGTTATTATCTGCTCATGTAGTAGTCCTACATTCGAATTGACCGATAACCATATAAATTATGACATCTTTATTGAATCTCTTATCAGGACCTCGCTTCTATTTTCTTTATCTCTGACTCTGTTCTCTTTTGTTGGTACTTGTCATTTTTTTTTCTGAACAATGTTAATTCAGGTGTTGAGGAAGTCCATGAAAGGTCTAGGTACTGATGACAAGACACTTGTAAGGGTTGTGGTAACAAGGACTGAGATTGATATGCAGTATATCAAGGCAGAATATTACAAGAAATACAAAAAGCCTTTAGCTGATGCTATCCATTCCGAAACATCAGGCGGTTATCGGACATTCCTGCTTTCTCTTGTTGGTAGCCATTAGGTAATGTTCACTGGTGCTACTGTCTTTGAAGTACCCGCTTACATATTAAGATGGCAGTGCTCATAATGACCTTGTGTTTTTCTCCACCCTTCGCATTTCTCAGGCTATGTTTCCTCACCGCACACTCTGCTCTGTCGCATTACTTTACCCTAAAGGCCTAAACGCAGTGACTCTACCTGGCCAAAATGTATGACGTCGTCATCACTGTGTTCTGGAGCTTCGCTGACAACTATTTCTGCTTTCTCTTGGTTTATGCTTGCCTAAAATGTGTGTATATTATTTGGATCCGGGGACTCTAGTGCAGTGGCTGCTGCTGGTTCCATCTTTCATGGCATGTGTTATCAGTGCAGTTGGTTTGATGATTGTATTTGGCTTTACTGCTTTCACTGAAGTTCACACTGTTATTTAACTTTATTGAGAAAAAGGAGTGGCGTACATCCAGGTTCTTTTTTTCTTTTGCAGTTGCATTATGTACTTCCGTTGTGCCAAGTAACAGGATCCTGGTTACGTAAAAAAAAGGTACTAACAGGATCCTTGTTACGTAAAAAAAAGGTACTAACAGGATCCTTGGGTGTTTCTTTTTTAGAGGGGTAGGTGTTTCATATGCAGAAAATAAAAACCCAGGTTTTACCTCTGGTACTGAATTCTGATACAGATGAAAATTTCAGACCTGGTATATGTGATCCTTCTTTTTTCCAGAACTTAATAAAGATTACATCTATATATTGTGAAAAATTATGAAAGTTATACGTGTCGATGGTGTTCTGGATTGCTGGTGTTGCACTGCTGCAGTATTAGACCCTGGATATCTCGCCGCGTCCCTTGGCTAACGCAATGCAAACCTACGACCGTCAGTTGTTTTTTGTCGTCGAGGCGTCAGAAAGGTTTGCCTTGATACTATCGAGCATCGAAAAAAAACACTATCGAGAGAACGTGGTGCACATTGAAGTGGGCTGTGGAGGGTACACACGCAGAAGAGTTTGCACAATGTTCAGTTGGGAGTGTGAGGTCTATCCATGTTTTCTCAGGATCAACATTCTGCTATTGCTGGAGCCATCTCATCGTGAAGTATATGCTTTGAGATTGAAGATTTGGAGACCCTGGCATATACCCAAAACCATAGGGATACTTATCTTATATCCATTACAGGGTACTACCTCCGGAGGGGGCATAGGGTATGTGTGTAGGTCGGCAATCTGACTAACCAAATATATATTATATGCGACAAAAATATATATTTAAAAACTTAATATGTATGTATGAATCCAGTAGTATACTTTTGGTGTGACATGTTACCCATGCGCCCCCAATGCAACCCGCGGGGAGGGGGAGGGGGTACCATAAAAGAGCTCATGTTGAATATACTCCGCCTTAGTGGAAGAAATAAGTTTCTGCATTCAGGGCAGGCGACCCTATGAAGCAAGATTTGGGTCATGACTGAAACTAACAACAAAACCATATGCCAGGACGAACTTTACCTGAACCCCTGATCTACGCTGTTGTAAAGAAAGAGCAACCTATTATTCACATAGCTAGCTAGATGCCAAGCTTCACATGGTTCTCATCATTGCAATGATTTTATCTATCTTATACAGACAGCCGTAGATCTGATCGCTAGCTTGTCGTGCCTACTGATCTCTTAGAACTAAGCAAGGCCCATGCATTTCTTAGCAGAAAACCAAAGAATCCAGAAGAACGCGACCCAACCTGCAATGGTATGCATGGTCAGATGGATTGCTGCAAATAATATGTTAATCTAACATTCTGCAGCTAGCTGTGCACATGTTTCGAGGTCATCGATAATAAGCAAAATATGTCCGAAGAGCTCTGGTTTCAGTTCAAAAACCATCTAAAAAGAAAAATCTGCGGGCATGGGCGAAACTGTGTTAACGCCCTACTACCCTTTCCTCATGTTCCTATGTGAAGAACCATATTCATGCCTACCACATCCCAGTCTAGATACAATCATTTCGAAGGCAAGTATTTCCGGACGGAGGGAGTACTTTCATAATAGTAGTAGTTATGAACAACCTGGTGCCTGTTGCTAACGTGTTTTTCAGACAAATTTTTTAACCAGTACTTCATTTTTGAAGGTGAACATCTGAATCTGATTACATCTTCGGAATGAACAACCAAATGACAGCACGTTGTTACCAGGTACCAGCTTAACCTACTGAATATTGATCAGCTTTTGCGTCAAGTTTTGGGAGCTTCAGCTGAAATCGTCATAAGTACTTACTGCATACTTATTACTCCTACTACCGTTCTATTGTGAACCAGAGCTGATGCTGCCGATTTTTATGAGAATTTCAGGGCTTTATGTGAGTAAATACTAGTACGAAATAGTGCCACACCAGAGGAAGTAGTAGTGGATACTGAAGATGCACACAGGCTGAAAACAAGAAGCATCGCAAGCAAGAAGAGTGGGGCTTGGCAATCGTGATGAAACGTTAGACGTACCACTGGCAATCGTGATGGCAACGACTGTTGCCACGGTCATTGCTGAAATAACAAGGACGGCGACTGACACTGCCCCGATGTACATCGCCGCCGCGAAAGCGAACAGCACGGACATGAATCCTCCGGCGGCAGCCAGGGACATGACGATCGAAGTGACAATGGCGGTCGTCGTCGCCGCCGCGAGGAGGAACGTGAAGACCAGGAGGACAGTCAGCGGTACGGAGGCCACGGATCCAACCTGCGGGGGATCAATGATGTTATAGTTGCTGGCGCGATCCAAATCATGGTGTCCTTGGGTTTATGAAAGCGGAGGCTCACCGACACGACGAGCAGCGCGCGGACGGAGCCGCCGTCCCTTGTCCACGCCACCAGGCGGTGCGCGGCGTCCTCCGTCGTCTGGCGCGGCCACCATGTCTCACCGGGGCGTGTCGCGTCGTCCAGGGGGCGCCGGGACAGTGGCTGCCCACCATTGACGAAGCCGCAGAGTACGGACGGGGGAGCATCCTCCTCGACGGAAGATGAGTGGGAGGAGGTGGCCTCGCCGTTGGCGCGCACACCGCCGTCCGGAGCGTCGACCATCGATCATTCGGGCAGTGGTCGAGTGATCGAGCGAGAGTCAAACGCTAGCGCGAAAAATGCTGTTGGGACTGAGACCGATCCAACGGGCCAGTGTTGTCTGAGCTCACTATTGGGCCGGCCCAGTTGCCCCACACGTGAGAGCACGGCGTCGTGCCATTCGCTTGAGAGCAACTAGTCAACGATTGCTCCTTCGGAGCCTCCCAACGATCACTTCGGGGTGGGCTGAGAGTACGCCACTTAGCGCGCTATCAATCGCCGTCACGTGTCACGCTCTGGACATTTTCTCTGGATTTTATTTTATTTTTATTTTTCTACACGTGTTTTCGGGTTTTTAGACTTTTTTCTGATTTTTTCACTTTTTTTTATTTTCATCTGTCTTTCTTAGCTTTTCTTTGAGAAAATAATAATTTTTTTTTGCTTCTGCGAGAGGCACGGTTTTACTTCCGCGAGTGCATGCTTTTGCTTTCGCAAGAGGCACGGCCGTGCATCTCAGGAAAAAAATCGTGTTTTTTTGCTTCCGCTAGAGGCACGGCCGTGCCTCTCGTGAAGCGAAAATATCATGTTTTCTTTTTCCCTTTTGTGAGAGGCACGATTTTGCTCCCGCAAGAGGCACACCCATACCTTTCGGGAACGAAAAAAAATGTGTTTCCTATTTTTTTCCGTGAGAGGTATGGTTTTGCTTTCGTGAGAGGCAAGGTTTTGCATCTGCAAGAGGCACGGCCGTGGCTCTCAGAAACGAAAAAAACACATTTTTTCCTTCTGTGAGAGGCAAAATTTTGCTTCCGCGAGAGGTACAGCCATGCCACTTAGAAATGAAAAAACACGTTTTCTCTTTTTTTTTCCTTCTGTGAGAGGCACGGTTTTGCTTCTGCGAGAGACACTATTTTGGTTCCGTGAGAGGCACGTCCGTGCCTCTCGGAAATGAAAAAAAAACATTTTTCTATTTTTTCCTTCCGTGAGAGGCACGGATTTTTCGTGATTTTTTTCGGTCAAAAATCTATCAATATAGATCTAGTTTTGAAGATCTCGACGCGAGAAATCCAACGGTGAAAACAGTTTAAGAATTGGACGCACAGTTTAAGAGATAAAACGTTTTGAATAAACATATCTACGGGAAAAGGGAAAACTCCTGGATAGCAACAAGGGTACGCGCTTACGCGACTGGGGGTGCCCAGGTCGTCAAATAGGGGCACCCAATTGCTTCCGCTGAAGGGAGCGAACTCACCAAGGTGTAAAAAAAAGATCCAAAGGGGGTACCCCTTTTCTTTTTGCGACGGAAGGGGGTACCCCTTTCATGGCTCATACCCTTTGCCCTTTCATCGCTCATATTTCCTTTTATTTGGTGATGACAAGGCAGGGTCCCAAAATCTTGAACCGTGTGTCCAAACTATGAACCGTTTAAATTGTTGTGTTTGTTACGTTGAGATCTTCAAAACTATCCCATGTTAATTAATAGGTTTGGATGAATTTTTTTCTAGGCTACGCTCTCGTGTCAGGACCAGAGCCCCGATCTACTGAATTTTTAACTAAACTAGCGGATTTCAGTCAGGAATTTGGGAAATTTGAGCTAGGATTCTTATCGCATTAGCAAGGGGAAAGTAGGTAGCACACCACCGGCGGCTAGGGTTTACACCCAATAAGTCTTTACATGCCTCGAATGGAAGAGAGGGCTGGCTTATATAGCCATTACAGAGCTAGAAAGCAAAAAAGCAGAAAAGCTAAGAGCACATGGCGTTGTCAGGCGATGAATAGCTTTTCCCGCGCCATCTCAGCCGTCAGATGGACGATCGACGAAGGAGAGCGATCCAGACCCGCGAACCGTTATCTTTGCTTGGTGACCCTCCGATGAGCGATGAACGGCCGTAGACTTAACTGGCACGCTGAAACAGGGGATCTTTAGAGTTTGGGCCTGACAATACCCCCCGATTGAGCTAGAGCTTGTCCTCAAGCTCTAAACGCAG